GCATGTTCTCCCTTTGCATGCATGGGTTCTTTCTGGGTACTCCAGCTTCCTCCCACAGTCCAAAAACATGACTGTTAGGTTAATATTAATATGTGGAAATTTTATGCTGATCAGAAAATCATTCACTTTACGGAAAGTAGATTGTCTTGTCTGACCCTAAAGGCATATCCTTTACTGAACCAAACAAGCTTTCAGTTCTGGCCTAATTTGTGGGATTTCCAAACTACTTTCGTAAACCTTGAGTCACTTTCCAGTAAAATGATCATAACAACAGATCTGGTCAATAAAAATGTTTCATTTACTTGAGTAACTTTTTAACAAGAATCACTTTTATGAGTAATTGTATACTTTTTACCTTAACTTGAGTAACATCAGAGGTGACAAAATAACTTAAAGGACATTATTTAAGTACCGTAAAACAAAATATATTTGTTAACTTTAGTAATATAAAAAAAATTAAGATTATCTAAAAATTATGTTTTTTTTACCTTGAAGTTATAGTGGAGGATTTTCATGAATTTTTTAAAAGACTTGCCCTCTACACTTAAAAAAAAGGCACATGCACAACCCTGTAACTGCTACCGAGAGGGAACGCCTGATAAATGCGTGCGAGAGCATGCACTAGCCCATTTTTTCTTGTGCACGCTCTATTTAAAAATTGCTGTTTGCATCGCTCATACAAGCTTACTTTTCAAAAGAATATTTGCTTATTTTCCACTATGTCAGACTCACCAAAGTGAAAGTGAAAATGGGGATGAGCATGTAGAACGGCCTTACTTAAACATTTGTCTCCAGAATGATTTACAATTAGGAGGACCACTTATTTTGAAAAGAACATCTAGGCCTGTTTTCGAGAAATATGCTTGAAAATAACATGCCCAAAATGAATTGAATATATCTCAAGAACTACAGAGTTTATTTTAATTGTTTTGGTATCAAAATAAAGGCAAGACCCCAGAGAATATGTTACAGGTCTAAAAACCATCTTGGGGTGAGTGCTGAGGACCCAAATTTGGGTCCTCATGTTATGAAAAGGTTAATTGATAGAAAATAACTTTTAAAACTGTATTTTCTTAAAAAAAAAAAAATTGTGCAGTAAAAGGATATATTTTCCTCTCTCTGTGTTGGTAGAGAAAACATAAAAAGAATACAGATGGTGTAGATCTGCTCTGAATTGAAATTTCAGAGAGGATTATAAGGTTTTAACTGAAGTTCTCATGAGCACCGGTATTCATAGTGCTAATGTTGCATCTATAGCATTAAAATAAAAATAGAATTAAAAACATAAGCAACATGTCCATTTAAAATCTTGTCTCTTCTTTATGTTGATGTTTTCACTTAAGAAAATATGAAAGCATTTCTAAAAAGTTGCATTTTAATCGTTTGTAATCAGAAAAGATTAAATTTGTCAAACGATTCATGCTAGTTATTCATTTATACAAAAGGTAGTAGGGGAAAAAAATGAGGAAAGATTTTTTTTTGTCTTTATATTTATTTTTTGCTAACTCCAACAACACCCCAATCCTGAAAGCCTGAATAAGAAAAGGTCTTAAGTGCTCACCCGTTGAAATGTATTACTTTTTTTTTCTATTCTCTATCCGTCATTTCCCGAATGATGGAAAACATGACTACAACGGTTCCATAGTATACGTATATGAAAGCAGATTCCGGACAGACATTTCTATTCTCAACATTTGCAACATTAGCCGGGGGGGGATAAAATGTCGCAAGTGAAATCTTGTTTAGCTTAATGACTCAGCTCAGTTTACCAGAGAACGGATTATAGATTTTTGTTCTGTGTTTAACTCTTTTATTGCTTTTTTATTCTAGAAGCATGAACTTAAATGTGAATAAAGCTACAACTTTCTGGAAAAGAAGTTTTCACCATCCTTAGCTGGTCGACCCAGCCTGGTCACCATTATGCTTTGCGGTCGCATGGTATTGTATTTTTTTTATATTTTCACTTATATTAATACGGGGCTGCACATTGGAGCAGTGGGTAGCAATGCTGCCTTGCAGCAAGAAGGTTCTGGGTTCAATTCCCAGCCCAGGGTCTGTCTGCATTGAGTTTGCATGTTCTCCCTGTGCAAGCATTGGTTCACTCCAGCTTCCTCCCACAGTCCCCAAATCACGACTGTTAGGTTAATATTAATATTTGGAAATTTTCTGCTGATCAGAAAACCATTCACTTCCCCGAAAGTAGATTGTCTTGTCTGACCCTAAAGGCATATCCTTTACTGAACCAAGCAAGCTTTCAGTTCTGGTCTAATTTTTAGGATTTCCAGACTACTTAAGTAAACCTTGAGTCACTTTCCAGTAAAATGATCATAACAACAGAACTGGTCAATAAAAATGTTTCATTTACTTGAGAAACTTTTCAAAAATAATTGTTTTTAGTTGAGTAAAAATATGTACATTAAATGTTTTTCTTACATGAGTACATTTGGCTATTCTACCCACATCTGCATAAGAGTAAGGATGGGTCAGTAATGTGTGCCCTCATTGTATACTGCAATCCAAACAATCTAAAAATGAGTCAACATTTCTTAAATTAAGTGTATTTACCCTTAAACTGAGTAGATAAATTAGATGATTTGCCAATGGAATGGTCATATTTAGTCTTAAAATAAGAAAATTAGATAATATGCCCTTTAAAAATAATGCAATTGTTTTTTTCTTATTTTAAATATAAATTGTCTTGTTCCATTGGCAAAGTGTCTCACTTACTTTGTCAATTCAAAAAAATATATACTTAGCTTAAGAAAAAATTACTTATTGAGATTTCTATTTTTCTAGGCAAAGATTAAAAATTCATCTGTTTAGAGCTGCTTTTGACTTTATTTGACCTATCAATTAAATAAAAAAAAATGTAGCCTGTAGTTCAGCCTTACTCACTGGAATGTATTTTTTCAATGTTTTCTTTTTATTTCTAGTGTTTTTTTGTTTTTGTTTTTTTCCCCATGTTAATCGCTTCCAGTTATCCTGCTAAAGTACAAATAACCTGGATTAGCCTAATTGTGAATATAATTAGTTATGGTAGAAACATCCCTCTCTTTATTGTCTGTAGGACACTTTTGGAAAAATGTGTAGTTCGTGTTTTTTGGACTCAGGCACCAGACCCCCTTTTGATGTCTCATAGACAAGAGTCTGGAGAAAAAGGGATAGATGCATGCTGGTTAAAACTCCCTAGAAAGGTCAAGAATAAGAAAACTATTCATTGCTTAAGTTATTTGATTTTTGATGGTCAATGACATTGTTTTATGGCCAATAAAGTAAACTGAGCTGATGGATAATCATTACACTCGCTACATTGTGTGTTAAATCTCACCCTTTAGAGAAGATTGTTGAATATATCCCCAGTACTTCTAGGGAAATAAATCACATCCAGGGGGTCATTCTTAGCATGGGAAATGCATTCAGCTATCTGCTCTGAAAGATTTATTCTTTAATTAAATGGAAAGGATGACCTGCTGCCGGCAGGTCAACATCATCCCTTTTTAGGAATAAAACACTGAAACCACATATTTTCATACATTTTCCCTTATAACTTCTTTTTATTTAGTAACATTTTTTTTTCTGTTTCAGATCTAGAAAAAATACTCTCTGTTTGGCAAATAACAAAATGATAAAAAGAGAGAAACTTTATCTTTAACTCGGAATCTTATATATAGTAATGCTGCAGTGCTTATTAACAATGGTGTCATTACTAATTGTGGCGCACCTCAAACAGACTCCTTCCTTGTGTTACTAAGCTATTCACATCAGATGTCAGGAAGATAATAACATTTCGCTGGAAGTTAGGTTGGTTCTTGTTTACAATGTCATCTCTAAAGACAAAAATATGCAGCATTTGGATGCCATTAATGTTTAGGAAAAATACAGAGGTGTCAAAGAGATTCATGTTTTTAGAGTCCAGGAATAAGGCAGAGGATCTTGAACGCTGCCCTAAGTGCATAGAAGAGTATCTTTGTCCACTGTAAGAGGTTCCTGTACTATTGAGAAGAGCCACTCAGATAGGAAATGTATTTAAATCATAAAAGCTAATTTCCACCTTTAATATTTTTTCAGCTTTTCATTTTTAAAGGTTTATTACAGCTGATTGTTTAACACAGGTGTGACGATAGCAGAAGTGAACTTCATGTTATCTGTCCTGAGTTATCCTTTGTTGATGCCCGCAGGTTGTTTGTGACACCAGACATCTGTGGGGATTTTGATCAACAGTCTGCATGACTTTGATAAACAAAGGGCTCTGGCTTTAATGTATTTTAGCGCCAATCTTGCCCCTCTGTTTTTATCAGCTTAGCCACACAGATTTAATCGGACATCCTTGTTTGTGTTGTCCTGTGAATGTTTGTCAGAGTGCCAGAGATCCAACCCCCCGCCCTTCTCTTTGTCTCGACATGGCAGTGTCACCCAGAGATGTTTATTATTGGGACGGGGGAGGGAGAGGTGGTCACGACTCAGTAGATTAGTGTCTGCAGAGCGTGCTTGTGTGTTGGTGAAGAGGGAGGGGGGATTTATGGTATGGGAGGGTATCGTTTATAAGAGTCCTTCAGCTGTTGCTGTTTGTTCCCACCCCCTTTTTTTTTCTTTACTATTATTAAGTTGTCTCATGGGAAATACCCAAGATATGTGAGACAAATGGCACAATGCGTTTGTAAAAAAATAGTTACTGAGGCCGAAGCACAATAAGAAGAACACATGAGCCTACAGTGTCTTAGACACTTTAAGAAGCATGGTGGTGGCAGCATCATTCTGTTGGCTTGCTGGTTTTAAGCATAAACTTTATATAATTTATAGAGAGGTCAGTTGCTTTTACTTTTATTTGCATTGCAAAGTGTAAACTGTAACCTCTCTCAAAACAGTTGGACTGTGTTTTGTAAGCATAAATTCCTTTCTGTTTTTATTTAACAGGCCTACTTGATGAACTCAAGTGACACCAGACAGGTTGCACATAAAATAAATCCAAAGGACCAGACAGACACAAAGAGTTCAGTATAGATATTTAAAATACTTTATACAGCATAGAAATCTCTTAACACTCAAACCAGTCCATTAAAAAAATCTTACAAAAAACCCCAGAGCATCTGTATCAATCTCAGTTTGAAAAAGAAAAAAAAGCAGTTACAAAAATGTATTTTCAAAGCTTACATTACAGTTCATTTCATGCAACGTTTCATCTGGACCGAGAAAAAGAGAAGAGATTCTACAGTTTTTAATAGTGAGGCAAAAAAAGACCCTTTGTGCCAGTGGAAGCCTTTTCTTTTTTTTTTACTTTTTTGTAAAAATGCCATTTCCATAAACGTATTATTTTTAAAATTCCTCCCATACAGAGCAAGTCACGTGAAGGAGACAGAGGATTTTAAGACTTCTATTTACAGGAACAGCGTTCACATTGCGCTCAGAGAGCTATTGGCAAATATTCATCATTGCAGTTCAACACTTTAAACTATTGCACAAACTACAGCATTAAGACAAAAAGAGGTGATTTACTTCTTCTGCAGATGTTAGGTGACTCTAGTAGCACTTGTTCCCACTTTCAATCCCTCAGTGTTTCGGTGAGGTGGTTAAGTTTTATAAGGCTTCTGATGCTCTATTTTACATTACTGACTACAAACTGGTGTTTAGCTGTGAGATGATCCTTACATATGAGTTACCCTGGTGGTGAGATAATACTTTTATATAAAACGGTAAAAATTGTGATTTTATCACTGATGGGTGATGAGAGTAGATATAAAAGTGAGCTTATGCTTCTACCATTGGTCCCTATGTAGTTTTATTGTGTTAAATCTAAAGTCAGCACTTAGACACATACCACACTGACAGGTGTGTCAGCCCTGACTGTCACTACCGTATGCAGAAATGCATGATAAATGCAGTGAGGTAAAGATAGTCAGCACATTTGTTTCCTACTGGTTTTGGTTTTCAGTAATAGTGCAGTGAGCTAGTTTTTTCTGTTCATTTTTTTTTTCCAGCTAGCCAGTATTCAGGCTACAGTGCGAGCTGGCTGGAAGTTAGTGGCTATAGTACAGAGTTTCAACAAACACAAAAACATTTACACATATAAGGTCGGGGTTAGGGTTTAGAGTTGGCTCCTGTTAGCTGGTGTGAAATCAGTTTGCGGCTTGTTCTCAAACCAGAAGAAAGCAAAACAAAAAACCTTAAAATTGGTCTATATTACAGGTGTTGTTTATATGTAACATGGTGTCCCAAGTTTAGGTCTGGAACACAGCAAGGTTTAGACATTGCAGAAGGATTCTTTTTAAATCTCATCGTGTCAGTGTCCCCATATTTCTTATAACATAACAAAATACCCAAGAGGTAAAACGTTAAATTCAAACCCCTATTCCATCATTGTTCCATTGCTAGATTAGGCATGGGCCGGATACAGATTTACTTTACTCTTATTTAGAAAGTGCCAAAGTGGTTGGATTTTCCTTCCATTCCTCCCCTCCCCAGCCTGTTGCTGAACAGTGCTGGTCAGATGATAACAAAAAAAACAAAAAGCACCTTCGCACTTTCCTGCATACAAAAGATATAGTGGAGTTTGGAAGAATTTGCTTGTGCATAAATATAAAAAAAAATAAAATAAAATCATGCAGCTACCGCAGGCGACCAGCAACTCTCAGCTTGAATGAGTTACAAGCTACTGCCAGATTGTATAACCGGTCTAACTGTATGTAGGAAAGAATAATAATGTACTCTATCGATAATTCTGGGAGTCCTTTTTTTGAAAGCTTCACTAAATGAACAAGGTGTTTAGGTTTTTATCTTTTATCTGTAGTTTAAACTAAGCACAAGTAATACTGTTATCATCTGAGCTTCATTTAGGTTTTTTTTAGATTTAATTGATCATGAATTAGTTAATTTCAATGTTCTCCATAAAATGCTTCAAATTTTATGGAGAACAAATAGGCCTCAATAACGTAAAAAAGAGGAGCAGTTTAAGGAGATGTGCCTTTACTTATCAGAGTAATCCAAGGATGATAATAAAATGATTTTGGTGAGAAAGGTTTTTTCTCCTCATTAAATTCAGATTTATAGGGAGATTTATTATCTCAAACTTGGACAGTTTGATTTGTGTGTTTAAAAACACACACCTATTTTAACCACATCCGTCAGTAAGTTAGGCAGTGTTAAAGGAGACACCTTTTTATTTCTTTTCTTTTTTTGTGTGCGTGTTGTTGCAACATTCTTAGTTACGTAAAGCAAATGTCATTTATGACAATAAATCTGTCATGCAGGCTTACATTTGCAACTGCTGTATTTTTTCCTTTTCTTTTCCAAAATGGAGATATTTCCCTTTTTTTTTTTTTTTAACGCTGTGCGTTAACGCCCTTAAAATGTAATAAAGTTATTGTATTCTGAGAATCTCATACCGGCCCATGTCTAATTTTCATATTAAAATATGTGATGAAAATTGGCTCAAATGGAATAAAGGGGCAGTTCACAGTTCAAAAGGCCGCTCTGAAATACCTCTCCAACTTCCACAAACTGTTGAGAGGGACACAAATGTTCCTTTCATTCTTTTTTTAATCCCTCAGCAGAGGGTCTTCAGTGCACCCGAAGCACACATGAGAGTTTTCATTGGGTAAGGAGGTGGGGACACTACTTCCTCAATAAACTGTTCCGGTCGGAATGTGAAAGGCTGCAGCGGGACTTTCTTCTTCGCACATTTCCCCGCAGAGGGAAGCTTGCTGCGATGGGTTGGGCTCTCAGGGTCGCTGCTCGCACTGTTTGAAGGAGGGCTGAATGCCGAGTTGGGGTTAATTAAACTGAAGGCAGACTTAAGAGGCATAAATGCTGAGCCTCCTGGCGGGCTTCCGACGCTACTAGAGGGGCTTCCACTAGTGTCAGAGGAACCGCACCCATCTGATGACAGATTCTTTTTGGGCTGTAGGTTGGAAATCAGGACTGGGGGACTGGGGATGGTTGCCTTTTTCAAGTATGACGAGTCGGGCTGGAAGGCAGAGACATGGCGCGGCGGTGACAAAGTGCCATTGGTCAGCTTGTACCACGGTGTGGAAGGTGTATCCTCAATCTGTTCGGCTTTGGAAAGAGAACCAAAAGAGTGCATGCCAATGGGTGACGGAGCCGGCGGAGCAGGAATGTTATGCTCTGGACTCGTGTTCACTGGTGGGAGGGTGGCCAAGCGTCTCCGCTGCTGCGGTGTGTTGGGGAAGAGGGGATGAATCTCGAGGTACTCCATAGATGATGAAGCAACAGTGCCAGGAGGCGCCAGAGGGGACTTACGATGTCCTACCGCTAAGGCTCTCAGTATACCTGAAGAAAGAAAGGGTGTAACTTTAATTTCCCAACATTGAAACCTTTTAAAAATGTATTTTAAAAGATTCTGCGGAGACACGTGAACAATAAAAATGGTACACCTGGAGGAACTCATAATTATAGATTTATGACTTTGCATGTCTAGGTAGTGTATGTCATGTCAATTATCTTACAGAATGCATCGAGTCAGTGTAAAGAACTGGCTGGTGCTCATGGTTTTAACTTTGTCAGTTCCAGTTCAGCCTTATTGCTGGATTAAAAACAGCCTATGGGCTTATTCAGTGTTTCTTACAGATAATTGAGGAGTGAAAGAGCTTAAACTTTAACTTTTCCCCCAGCTGTGTGTGTGTTGCAAGCTCTTCTTCGCTTGTCACACATTTGTTCCCAATCTGAGTGCAGCGTCACGCAAAGTTACATACCTCAGTGCTATTCTCTCACTCATTCATTTTATGTCACACACCAGAGGAGAGATTCAATCATAATAAAATGCCTGCACATATGGCTGTAACTTTGTCCAGGATGTTACTTTTCAGGTAGATATGTAGATGGTTGCAGGGATGGATGGAGGGAGGGAGGGTTGCATGGACGGGAAAGTATGGATGTGTGAAACAGGTTGCAGTACATGAAGATGCATGCTCAGTCAACCTACCCTATGTAAAAAATGGAAAACAAATGATGAAATAAATGTTCTTTTTTTCCTTTTTTCCTATTTCCAAATTATACAAAAACCATAAAAAGGTTTTTCTTTGCATTAAACAGTGCAAATCCTCACCTGTTTTGTGTTTCTTCTCCTTGTTCTGGCCCTTGCTAACAGCCAGGTAAACAGGCGTCTGTTTCGGGGGAATGGTTAATTTATCCACATGTTTCCTCCATTGTGTTTGAAAGTATTCAACTTGTCGCTTCTCTTCTTTCTTTTTCTCCTGCATCTGCTTCTCCTAAAAATAAAGAGCCAGTGCAACGGATTGTCAAAACAGGCCATGCAGGTTATTCAACTATGTCAAAATTCTTCTAAGGATTAACAGCGTGCAAAGGGATTCCAGATTGATTTATGTGACAGGTCCTAGCAGTAAACTATAGTTTTTACTTACCCTATACTCCTTAGAGAGTCTCTTCATTTTCTTATTGAGAAGAAAGTAGACAGCCAGAGTGTGGCAGGCGCGGTTGGTGAGAACAGCGCTCAGCACTTCGCTGTGCTTGTACCCCATCTTCTCAGTCATATGAAGCAAAACTGTTTGATTTATTTCTTCGATGTGGATTCTGAAACAAAGAGAACAGATTAGTGATACTTTTATAACAGCAAAGTTTATGCAAATTAACATCTGAATTTTGAATGTGCAAGGCCTTGGAAATGCATGAAACTCCTGTAACTTTTTGATTTTTATTTCATAAAAGCTACAAACGACTGCATGATTTATTGGAATTGTATGTGATTGACCAGCAAAAAGTAAAGCACAACATCTGCAAATTTGATAAATGAGGATTCTCAAATGAGAATTTTTCTCTGGAAGGAGCATAACACACATAATAAACCTACAGCCTGACCACCAAATTTGACACAGCAAACACTAAAGTAATAAGTAGAGGAGCAGCTAAGGCGCTCTTGAAAACTGCTATGGCTCTACAGATATCCACAGCCCACGAGGAGGAATTGCATGGCTACAAATTTTTTTGTATACACTCTGTGTATACAATATGATAATAAAAGTTGTCTAAGTCTAAAGTGACTAAATGTGAAGAAGTTGTGAAGGAATTGCATGTTTGGGTGTACCTGCTGCGGTAGGGTGCCCCTGTGTTCCTGTTGGCCAGCTGCAGCCAGGAATCAGTCATCACTTGAGTTATATTTGGACGCCTGTGAGGGTCTGGCTCGAGAAGCTTCTTCAGCAGGCAGATGGCAGCTGAGGGGGTAAAGAGGAATAAATGTTAAGGTGCTGTCAGTGTTCGCCAAGATTCCTGAAAGTTAACCATGTCATAACACGTATAAAAATATGTTTGTCTTAACACGGCACTGAAAAACGAAAACACCTATACCTGTTTCACTCTTCTCTTATATTCAAATTCTAAAAACATCTGGGTCAATCTTCTCTTCATCATCCATAACCGTCAGAGTGTTATATAACCTCGATGCTTTATAACATTGAATCATCAGTAATTAGTAAGGTACTTGGTAAGTGGGTTAAGTCATTCCTTCATTTGAATATTAGATAAGTAGATAAGGATTATTGTATGGGCATGCAGTGAGTGATGGCTCTTTGTTTTTTTAGTGGTTCCTCCGGTATTATCTCTACCACCACCCTCTACAACCTATGAGAAACTCCAATGAAATGCAACTGCAGGATTGCTTGCTGCACCACAACTTCACTGGAAATGTTTTGCTTTGTTTGCTGGCATGTAATCATATCTATGAGAGCAATTTGGGTTTCTTAAGAAACAGTGCCAATAAAAACAGCCTCTCAAAAATCTGAATCAGACTAAACAGAAGTTTATTAGACTGAAAGGTAGCTATACCCTACTTATACCTGACTGGACTGGTTCAGGTCTTTTCTTTCCAATAGAACTGTGAGTGTGAGCCTTTGGAACAATTAATCTAGCTATCTGTCTATTCTTAAAACTGATCTTGAAACCTATTTTTATTCCTTGGCTTTTAACACAGCACTAGACTTTCTCTGCTATTGTGTTTTGTTGTATTTGTTTCAACTCATTTTTTTTTTTACTTTCCTTGGTATATACAGCATTTTGTGGCAGCTGTGGCTGCTTTATAATTAAAGTTGAGTTGAGTTGTTATATCTTGCTTCTAATCTTTAGCAAAGATCAGTAAATGCTTTCAATAGTTGGATTGTTTTGTTTGAATTACCAGTGGAAAGGGTAGGAGGTAGGGGGTTCATCTCCTTGTCCACCATCTTCTGGTGCAGAGCTCGAAGGCTAAAGGGCTCCACGGTGAAAGGGAGCGACCCGGTAAGCATTGCATACATATTGACGCCACTGGAAGACCAAAAGTGCATAGTTAAATTCTGGGTTACAGATAAAAACAACAGGTAAATCCATGTTCTAAAAAAATGACAGTGAACTCACATGGACCAAACATCCACCTTTGGGCCATATTTCTTTCTGGACAGCAGCTCAGGAGCAGCATAGGCGGGACTACCGCACTGGGTGCTGAAGGGGTCGGAGTATCCCAATATGCCAGCGCAGTTACTGAGGCCGAAATCTAATGGGGTGGGAGGGGAGAGAGTGTGTGTTGAATGTTGTTCCTGGTTTTTGTTTATCTCAGCTTTGCACAAACATCCCGAGGCAGGTTAATACCACATCAGGAGCTTATAAGCCTTTTTCCAGGATGTTTGACAGCTCATAACTCTTTACCTCACTAGTTCTCATACTGGACTCAAAGTGAGAAAATCCCTTATGACTGTTCACGCATTAGTAATAAAGACTCATATAATTATCAATACATTTTAGTTGTTATTTCTACCCTTTACAGACTGTTTTGTGAAGAAATTGATATTTTTAGCACATTACCTATTAGCTTTATGTTGTCCTGCTCATCCAACAGGAGATTTTCTATCTTCAGGTCTCTAGAAGAAGAAGAAGAAGGAGAAGACGAAGAGAAGGGATATCATTGTTAAAAAAGTCAATGTTTAAGTACACTGAGATGAATAAGTATAATATTGTAAAGGCACTTGAAAGATCAACATAAAGACTTGATTAAGTGAGAACTTTAAATCAAATGATACATCGTCAGATAATATTGCACACTGACTGGCCGTAACCACTGTTTGCTAAGTGAAAAGTCTTTAAGCGCTTTAAGCTTATATAGACAAGCTCTTGCATACCCTTAATGACAAATCTGTGTGGGTACAACATATCTGGATGTTCTTGTGTTGTCATGTGGATAGAATGGGTTTAAGCCACATGTTGAAAGCAATCTTTCACACAAGAACAACACAATACTTTCAGGCTTGAGATGACTGACTGTTTATGTGTCCTTTTGATACCTGTGCACGACGCCGGCTCTGTGCAGGTGCTCGACGGCAAGCACCAGCTGCCGGATGTATTTCTGAGTCTCTCTCTCATCAAGGTGTTTCTTCTCATAAATGTGGTTCATGAGGTTCCCGCCGGGACACAGCTCCATCACCAAGTAGTAGCTGTTCTCTGTCTCAAGGATGTCCAAAAGCTGTGCGATATTTGGGTGGCGAATCATTTCCTGGATGAGGCCTTCCCTCCGTAGGTTCTTTGTGACGTATGAATCCTTCTTGGCCTTCCGCTTGTCGATTACCTTCACCGCCACCTGGGGCAAAGAAGGGAAGGGAAAAGAGTAAGAGGATGAAAGGAGATTCTTCTTGAACCTTGGCTGTTAAGCCCCATGCCATATGCTGTAGAGAGTTAAAAAAACGACATTCCTGCATTAGTATGTCTCTTAAGGTTGGATTTCATGAAGGGAAACAGGTGATGAAGTGACTTGATCCTCAGTGAAGGATATATAACTCGACACTGACCCCAAACAGCTGCTCTCAGGGTGTGCAAAAATGCAAGGCCCCAGAGAAGGAAGGCACATAAGTGTGGGAGAGGTTACTGAACTGTTGTAAAGTAAAGGGAAGCAAACATTATCCTATGTACTGAGAAGGTGCCAAACCCAAATGGGCAGTTGAAGTTACACCATTTGCTTTAAGTTTAATTGTAGGTAATCTAATTTGAGAAGTCATGACATAAGCCACAACAGGACAAACAGGTTTTTACTCCTTGTTTTTCATTTCTCCTCTTAGAATTATGTTTTTGATAACTGCTTGAGCTACTGATAAGAAACCCTTGAAGATGTCCTCATAAATTGCAAACGGCATGTCCTCTGTTCAATGACAGACCCTTGCAAATAATTGTATTCAATAAAAATATTTCATCCCCTCGTTGTGAGTCTCCTTGTGCCCTGTCTAGACTGAGTTCAAGAACATCTTTCCCATACATTACAAATCATCTCAAGGAGAGTCCATAGACGTGGACCGGCATGGCAAGTGGAACAAATCACCATATCCATTAGTGACACAGTGCAACAGTGTCCTCCATTTCCTGCTCCCCTTTGGCTCATTTTTATGACCATCCTTCAGCTAATTTTTATGCTCTGATAATTGAATTCACTTTAAATAACCTTTTTACAGTAACTAAACCTGGGTTGAAGAAGAAACACATGATGTGCCTTCACTTGACAGTTACAGGGGGGTGTGAGAATGTATGGGGTAGGAAACTGTATTTACACTGATGCATATGAGGAGGGCAGAGTGGGGTATAGAGGGGGGAAGGGAGGAAGCTGCCAGGGGGCTTCTGGGGGATTCAGTTGTTTATCAGGCACCCCTCAGACAGAAAGGAGGGGTCTTACAGGGGGAATGTAGAGAGGAAAGTGGGTTACGGATATCAAAAACACCCCCATGTGATCTCTTTAACCTCTGTAACCATGATGACCCCATCATTTATAGCTCCTTACTTTCACACGACTTTAAAGTATTGCTAAAAAAAAGAGAATCTTGGAGACCTGATGCCTTTCTTTTGCCCTAGAATACCCTTTTGCTTTAATAAACTCACTGGCCTGCTCTACCTCCCCTCCCTCACAGCTTCTGTTGGACGCTTCTATTCAAATGAAGAGCTGTGCTTGGTTGTGAGATTACCACTGTTTGCATCATCCTAAACAAAGAGAGCGGGGAAAAGGGAGGAGAGGAGTGATACCTTTTCTCTTTAGACCAACAGAACGGGCAGCGATGAGCAAACAGGAGACAGAGATGACTAATTATGTATTCATTAATAATCATATGTTTACTGTATTGTCATATAATCTGGTTTTTCACGTTACAATTTGCAGGAAATAGTGGGTGCTTATTAGTCTACCGTACTAATTATTTTTTTTTCTGGCAGCTTCTCCGAAAAAAACAACAACCTGGAAAGAGGGAGACAAAGGCAAAAACTGGCCAACGGTTGCCAGTATCAAAGCCCTGTAAGTTATATCATGAAGTTTTACGTGTTGAAGCTTGCAGGAAACAGGAGGTGCTTATTATTGTAAGATGCAAATTATTTTTTTTCCTGGCAGCTTCACCTAAAAAACAACAACCTGAAGGAAGGGAGACAAAGGCTATAACTGGCCAACGGTTGCACATATCAAAGCCCTGCGCTTGCAGAATCCCAATGAGCCCAATAGCTCATTTATCAACGAGGCGATTTCATATGCAAGTAGTAGCCCTGCTTCCTGATAGGTTGGACAATTTTCTCCTCCGTCCCCATCACAGCCACGCGCGCCTGCAGAAGGTGAGATCACCAGCACCAGCAACAGCAGCAGACAAAGCAGTGCACAAGTTGTTATCCAATGCCTCAGGATAGCAGATGCTTTTCAGTCCCTCTCTCTCTCATAGAGACAAAAACGCGTTGGGTAAATATTGTCAGAGGAGCTTCAGTGCTGTGCATGCACTACACCTCAGCAGCTGGTGCTGCAACATGAGCTCATTAACAAAGGAAGCTCATTGCAAACAGAGATGGCCACTTTATTAGAGGTAGAAGTGAGCTGATCAGAGGTGCCAGTGCAGTGGGATAACAAATCTCTAGTGTTTTGTTTCCTCCCTTTAAAAAGAAATGCCTGTGCCAAATGTAACCTTATAATTAAATCTATAATAAATTGTCCATCCCTATCCAGTATAACCCCCCCCCACACACACACACACACACACACACACACACACACACACACAAACAAGAAATGTATGCCTCCAATCTGTTTGCAAACTTTATACTGAAATCATGCATTTCACAACTAAATCATGCAATTATTATTTATAGCTAATATTGAAAAGTTTGATTTTTGTTTGTGGCTGGTGCAGCATAAAGGAATGCACTGACAACCCAACTGCAATCAATCCAAACAAATGCTCTTCTAGGGATTTAAAACTTCAAAAAAAAACAAACAAACAAACAAACAAACAAACAAACAAACAAACAAACAGATGCATTCAATGTTGTTTTATTCTGAAGTTAGCTTTAGTCGAATTAATTATGTGTCTCCAGGTTTATGTCTCACCTTTTCTCCGGTCAGAGTATGGAGACCCTCTCTAACTTTGGCGAAAGACCCTTCTCCCAGCTTCCTTCCAATCAGGTAGGTGCCCACGCGCTTGGTGTGATAAAAGTTCTTGAGGACGTCCGGGCCAGGGCTGCCTAAAGAGGCCGAGAAGGTGCTCTCCTCTTCGGCGCTGTCTGAGGTCTCCCCGTCGTGCGTCCGGTTATCCGTTCCCATGTTTTGGTCCGAAACAGGCATCTCTGTTGCTTTCTCTGAGCAGTGGAGGGGAGAAAAAAAAATTCGCACCTCTACTCTCACCCACCTTAATAGCAGGTATCCAATTAAACGCTTAACGTCCGGCAAAATAAGAGCGCTGGATCATGCGCCACCTGTTCACCCAAAATGATCCAACCTGGGCGCTCAGCAGTTTCCGACACAACGGTATCCGCTTAAATATGACATAAGGAGCATAGCATTAAAAAAGACAATATCTGTCATGGAAATCTGACGCAACTAGTTCCAATAAGCTGCATGAGAGAGTTTTTAAATAGAGGACTCTAGGCAGGCAGTGAGGCTGTGCGCGCATCTCCATTCACATGAGCGTCTCCTGGAAGGTCTGTGTGCCATGCAGCGTGTTTATCAGTTTGAAGTGACTTTCCCGGTCCTGTAGGTGGGCGTTCCCCTACCTAATTTTGAGGGTTAAAAAAGGCAGAAACACCCTGACAGACACGGTGGTACTTTTTGAACCAATCAGCGCAGAGCGGGTGGAGCGAGCATGAGAACAAGGGGGAACAAACAAGTCTACCGGTGTTATGCCCAAAAGTGCATGCCTGCCGAAATATGCATCCCCAGTCGCGGGAGCGCGCCTCGCTCTGTTGAACTGCATATCGACGAGGAAAACGGATTAAAATATGTTCAATGGAGCTTAGGTTCTTATATTAATGATATAAAAACGTTTAAAAATACCTCTCGTGGGAAAAAAGTTGTGGTTATTTGGCAGCTTAATTTACAAAAGTACGGATTTTTTGAACAACATTAAATCCAGAGATTTTGACCATGGTACGGCTGATTTATTTGTTGTGGTCTCTTGCTATTTACACACAACACTAAACCGTGATAGCCGAAGTGAGTTTGGAGTTTGCAAAGCTTTCTCTTAAGTGGAAAATCAAACGCGCACCTACAAAGCACAGCGTTCACAGACCAGTGAGATGCGTTCGCTGCGCATGGTGCATTCAGGAGCATTGGAACATTTTAAACTTACAAGAATGAGGCATAAAACAGAACTGTATTTTTACTGAACTGTATTGTATTTTTTTGTTTGTTTGTTTATGCACATCTGCTAGCTTTTTATTCTAAAAAATCTATAATATTACAGCAGCAATTTATCAAAGTTTTTCAAAATCCTGTTTAAAAGCTCCAAATGGGGCTTCAGATCATATGAAGCAACAATTGCACTGTCATTGTTTTACAGGGCAGTATTTGCATTTGCTGATCCTTGTACTTAATTACTGATGAATATACAGGAATACAGATGTACAAGTGTCAACTCCTCTGAGATAGCAGGGGATGCAGTTTTTGGCAGGGACCTGCCAAAAACTGCATCCCCCTTGTTTTTAACTTAAAGATTGTCCCACACACATGAAATTCACACTGGTAGCTCAGCACACATGTGGAAGCAGGTAGAAATGGAAACATCAGCTACAAATCTATATTTCTGGAAAAAAGCAGGGGATGCAATTTTTGGCAGGGATCTGCGAGAGGTATTTTTAAACGTTTTTATATCATTAATATAAGAACCTAAGCTCCATTGAACATATTTTAATCCGTTTTCCTCGTCGATATGCAGTTCAACAGAGCGAGGCGCGCTCCCGCGACTGGGGATGCATATTTCGGCAGGCATGCACTTTTGGGCATAACACCTGTACCAACGCCCCGCTGCTGCGCTCTGTGCGTTTACATTGTAGGCCTACATGTGCAGGAACAAAGAATGCATTTATATCACTGTAGAGTGATCTGTTATTGATGCCCTATTTGGATAATATTGGGACACGTCCCGAGCCTCTCTTTTGTTTATTATAAGCATTTATTTGGGTGCAAAATAAACGTTCACTCTTTTCATGATTAAAAATAGAAACTTTTTTTAAATTGAATTTATTTTTACTTATTTTAATCAACTATAACGTGCAATTTAATTTAATTGCGTGTTAGGTAGAAAAATATTCATTCCATCTGTGTGTTTGCTGATTAGATTCACCAGTTAAATTAACAATTTTGTTGTTTAATTTTGCTTTTCTTTTGTGTGTGTGTGTTTTTTTTTTATATGATTGGTTTGGTAATAGCCTACCCAAACAATTTCTTTAGAAATCATAAATTTTTATTATGAACTTTTTTATTGTTATCTTTTATTTTTAACTATTTAATGTTAGATTTCTTGCTAGAGTTACTCTTTTTGGGTCTCTAAATAGAAAGGTTTGAGCTGAATCTCATGCTATTTTTACAATACTGGACCACGCTTTCTAGATATTCCACTAGACAATAAAAATATGAACCATACAAGTAGGACATCTGTTGGAGACTTGTTGCATTGCAGCAAAAGACAGCGCATATTCAGCCTTCTTGAAACTAAATCAATATTAGTTTTGCATTTGGCTTTGGAGACAAGGACATGAAGCACATTACCAATTAGACCCCCATTTGTCTTCGAAACAACTCATTTGATCTTTTCACTGAGAAATTATGCATGTAGGTTTCAGCACATAGATCTTGTCTTTTTTTATTAACTCAAAAATTTGATGCAAACTGATATTTAGTAAATAAATTCCCTTTCACTTGCAGAGAAATCTTAATTTTATTGAAGAAACAAAAGCAAAATACAGCTAACTGGTTGGTAACTATACAATGATTTGACACTAACAGAATACATAAAAACAATTTGCTGGTAAAAGCTGTACATTGTTAATTCAGACCTGATTCAATGCAATTCAGTTTCCTTTTTTCTCTCTATCACAGCTGTCAAGAGGATCCAAAAGCAAAGGTGTGTTGCAGCAACAGGGAGAACAGAACCTGCATTTAGATTTCTGGGAAGGGGCACAGTTGCAATATTGTGCTTTTAAAGGGATTTTTTCTCCTGGAATTGTTTGTTTCAATTGTTTACCCAAATGCCATGTTCTCTACAAATAAAACATCTTATAAAATAATTTGTACACCTCTTTCCATATTTGACATTGAAATCTGATTTTGGGTTCTGCAGAGCAGTGCTGTCAGGCTGCTGTGAGCTGGTTGTATTTCACCTCTAACCACTGATGTAATGTCAACATGCCACTCAGTCATTTCTTATCATTTAGTCATCTCATGTTAATTAGGTTGCGCAAAAAGTAGGTTTATTATGTTTTTAAGCAAGCAGGTAGCTCAAAACTTCATATGTGCAGTGAGTTCATTAAGTTTATGAGCCTACTTTTGAAGAACACAGACAGGCCAGTCCTGCTGCTTGGCTATTTAAGCTTACCAAGCACAACACTGGATCCAGAATGCCCCAAACACAGAGGCCTTAGATCAGCCAGGTTCTGTGGGTTTTCCTGCTTTTTTTTTTTTTTTTTTTTTTTTTTTTTTTTTTTTTACATTTGTTGCAGCTGAAAATTAACATGAAGTGTTCAAACTATAAATACAAGAATATAAAAATCTAAATATTAAATCAATCTTTTCCAGAAAGGTTTAACATTTTAAGTTAATTAATTTTAATATAAAACCATTTCACCTCAGCTGAGTAAGAAAAATATTTTATTAAAGTACTAATAATCAAGTGGAGCATTCTCCCTTTCCCTAGTACATAGATTTGTATGTAGCAACCTAGCTCTATGAGATCCTTTATCTAGTCCTATGATTGACTGTGATTTCTACAGTTTCTATTTATTATACATATTTGCTTAAAAAGACAGTCAATGTATCAATTTGTTCTTTATCTGAGTGACTCTAATAAATAAAATCTAATAAATAAAATCCAAATTTTTTTACCTGGTTAAAATAAAAATAAATAAAACTGCAGCGTTAATCAGTTTTAGTTGTTATTATTAATGAATCATGCTGTTATGAAGCAGAAACTCTGGATAGATGCAGGTTGAGAAACAAAATAAATGTCAAATAATTATTCAAACTTGCCCTGTTTATGAATACATTTCAGCTTAATAATGGAAGGATTTAACTGACTGCATAAGTTTAAGGCCCATCATTTACTATTATTTAACAGTTAAAAAAAACAACAAAAACTAAAATGTATTTTAAAAGTAAAAAAACAGTGTTATAATCAATTGATATGGCACTAGTACAGTATCAGGCTAAATGTCCTTGATCATTTTTTAGGGTAATATATTATGATAAATCAAGGAAATAAGTTTTTGAATTATAAAGATATTTTTGTCAAATATTTGTCCTTAACGTCATATTAGCACCACTTCCCACTCTGGATCTCTGTAACCCATTCTGAGTTACCATGTTTCTCTGATTTTTAGTCTTCCCACCCAGCCTGTTGAGTTTGGAATGACATTCAGGTAGGTTTACCTCCACATGGCTCTACCTTGGTCCCGCTGTGGCTAAGCCTTTCTTATAACTCTTATAACTTCTGCATTTCTGGTGCTATAGGCTTATAATGCTGGAGGACATGGAGATATCTTTTAATCATTCTGCTTAATTGCCCTTTAGCAGTATTTGTTAGTTCAATCTCTAACGTTATGCTCTCTCTGTTTTCCTCATCATAGTAGTTTGATCTGGTCTTATCGTGTTTGGCTGGAACACCACCCTGGAGAGAAATATCAGCTGTGCTGCTGCCATCAACACCTTTGTTTATAGATGCTAAAGCTTGGCCTGTTTTTCAGTGTAGACCTGTTTCTCTGACTGTGACTAACTGTATGTGCTCTCTTTCATCTTCTGATAATGGAGCTGGCTTGAAGCTCATCTGCCTGGCTGTGTGTTTCCTGGATTGGCCTGTCTGTGGAGCTGGTTGACAGTTGCCTTTTGTATCTCTGCTTCTTTTTCTATGTCTGCTTCTGTCTCCTTAAAATCCAATTATAATAAAATCTTAATAAAACTAAAGTGCTTTCCTTAAACCAAACTGCAATGTTCCTCTTATATTTGGTGAATTTATGTTAGAATATTTTGCAAAAATATGTTCCCGTGCATGATGAGGTTTTGCATCTGTTTACATTATTCGCAGGAAAAAATGCCAGGGCCGAAAATCTTTCCCAGTCTGAGCCTGCTTGAACCCC